GGTGATTTGTTATCATCAATATTATTTAAGTGTAATGGGATTACTTTGTTGACTAAAAGTGATCTTGATAAATATTAAATAAGTAAGGAAGGTGTGGAGTACACACTTGTTTAAGTTTGATCAAGTTTCAAAGTACACTGTCATTTAGGGGCGAAGCCCCTAAACGAACGGGGGTCCGGGGGCAGCACCCCTGGGAGCGGGATCCATGGGGCGACAGCCCCTGGCGGGGTCCAAGGGGCAAAGCCCCTGGGGTCGAAAATCGGATTTTCAGAGAATTGACCATTGTTTGACCCTTATCTAAACTTTCGTTTTTATGTCAGTTTTTATAGTTTTATGACAGTTTGAAACTGTCATATGACAGTTTTAGACAAAGATCATAAAGTCGGTTTTTGGTCTCATTTCAGGTACATACGAAACTATCATCAAAACATTCTAACTTCTTGTCTCTCTGAGTCTTATCCGATTAAAGAATATTGGGAGTACCACCCAAATGCTTTAATCTGAAAGTGTTTAACACAATTCTCAGAATTCCAAGCCTTTCTATACCTCAATTTCTAACAATTACTACTAACAATTATAGTCTTATAATACCATATCACCCGTTATTGAATCAATAAAAAAAAACCACCGCTAATTTTCAATATGTCACAAGTGTATTTGATATTAACATGAAGCAAAATGAACAATTATATAGATTGTTTAGACCATATTCAACCATACACTAAATAATGTAAAAAACGTTATGAATAATTAGGATCGGTGCAAACCAATTTGAGGCCCTGACAAAAGCAAAAAATGATTCCATTCAAAGTTCAGAAATTTATAGCCAAATAACTAAATTTAATGTATGTCGGTCTGATTTTGGCGGTTAAAAATGTTGGGTTTTTTTAGGTTTGGTTTGGTCTTAAAAAAGAGAACCAAACCGGAATATCCAAACGACTCCATTTCATATATAAATTTATCTGATTAAATATATTAGAAGGTAATATAAATAATGTCTTACAATGTTCTTTTAAGACTACCATGATGAAAATGTGTTTATGTCGTATATAAAAACTAACATATGGTCTTGTTTGAGTTAAAATTAACAAAGTGTTAATTAGTACATGTGTTGCTTCCGGTACATTTGCATTTTTTCATGAAAAATTTATACATTTTTTTTATTAACAAATTTAGAAATGTGACGATATATTTACAAAAACTTCACATGGATTTAAACATAAAAATATTTGTTGAAAGCCAAACATAGTTACCACTTAAGAATTCAACTACAACCTTTCGATAACTTAAATATAACAACCTTATTAGCATTAAACATTCTTTTTTAAAACTAGATATCTGAAAAAAAAAAAAAAACAAAACTTGATATTTTGAAACCACGTTGCCAAGTCTGTATGTTGAAAAGAAGAAATATTACTTATGAATCTAATATAGGAACTTTATATACTACATAAATCATTAAAAACCTTTGTATATCAATATAAAAATTACATACAAGGGGATTCGAATTTGGGCTTGAGATGAACAGAAATGTTTGTTAACTAACTCAAATAAAGGCACATTTAACAATATTTTAACATATTTTTTATATTAAATATAAAATACCAAAAAAATAATTTTAGGGCCATTGTGATGAGACCCGGGTTGTCACCCAACTTCCTTTTTATTGGGCCAACCATGCAAATAATATTTCATTTCCAACCTACACTATTTTTAACACCCAAAAATATATACCATACAATATTTTTAATTTATTTAGATTGTCAAAAATACCTTTCAACTTATTAGATTTTTACTTATTTATTTGCATCTTTATGTATAAAAACTCTATAAAATATATAATTACAAAACTGTAACCAAATTAATTATTTGTATATTATTAATTCTAATTAGGTGTTATTTTATTAAAATAAGAAAACTATATTTAAAACATATTGTTTTATATTTATGATTAATCAATGTCAATTTAATATATGATAGTATAATGAATAATTACTATATTTAGGGCATATTTATTATGTTTACTTGGTCTCTAACTTTTTATTGTAACTCAGAGTGTCCTTTTAGTTTGATTTAGTTACGATTTTGGTTCCTAACCAACTTAAAATGTACGAACTACCCTTAATAGAATTTTTATTAGGTATTTTAGTAAACAACACTGTATTACAAATTTTGTGGGTCTCACCCACCACTTTAAATCACACTCATTTTACCTAATGGGTACCCTATTTTATTGTGCTATCCTAAGATCACCATATTTCCTTTCCTTCCCCATCTCTCACCGAAAAAACACCATCGTTAGAAATAGCCTTCATCGGAAAAGACCTCACTCTCACCATACTCTCTCGCATCTCGCAGTACCTTGTTTTTCTCTACTTCTTTACTGTAGAAGTGGTAGATTAAATCTATTGGCTTCTTCTTGAACAACCTCGCCGGAATGTCGAATAGTTCGTGAGTTTTTCGGGGAATAAAAATCTCACCCATTTTTCTTGTCCTATCGGTTCAAAACCCCTACTAACAGAAGTCTCGCTTACTGATATGCCCAAAAAAATCACCCATTATTCTTTCTCTAACACTCTCCTCCTCTCTCTAACGATAACGATCCAAAAAGAAAATGGGTTTTAATCTATGAACGAACGGTATCGACGAGCTTTCTGACAAGAAACTAGTAGACATGGGTTTGATCTGCATGGAGAAACTAGACGAAATGAGTTATAATGGTAATGTTTTTGGAAGCGTAAGTAAGGAGAAATAAGGAAAGTAAATCAATCTTATCAACTATTCTCCCTAATCCTTAATCAATCTTTTTTGATATATGTGTTTTATATAAGCAGATAAAGATAAAGACATGGGGTACAAATCGTTGATGTAATGGAAAATGTTCTTTATATGGGCTAAGTTTTATCTAAGAATAAACTTTGCTTGATAAATATGGTTGTGTAAGAATGCTAACAACGATTTGTTTACAAATAAATATGGCTTGATAAATGTGGTTGTGGTTGATAAGGAAAGAGAGTGATTGTGGGACCTATTTTTAATGACAGTACTAAAAAAGAAACAGAAAAAGGATAATAATATTCTAATGTTTGGTAGGGACTGAATTCGAAAAAAAAACTATAGGATGGTCTAAGTTAAAAAAAAATAAGGGACCAAACACGTAGACTACCAAAATCAAAAGGACCATTCATGTAATTTATCACATATATAATATAAACTATAATAGAATAAAGAGTTATTGTCATGAAAAACTCATAAAGTTTGATTTTTGGGTTTAAATAATCAACTTCTAGAAACAATTTATAATAATGAATTATTGTGGCGGTCCTAGCGGGTGATCGTGTCGATCGTAATAGGTAGGGCTCACCGAAGGGCACATTAGTTCTAATACATAAGAGACAGAGGGATAATGGGGCATTGTGGATGGATGGATAATGTCTCCAAAATAATATGATAATTATACAAGAAAAAGATGATAAGTGACGTATTGTCATTTTAACTTGGCATGTGACCAAACTCGAAACAAAACCAAACCAAAGGGTCCGTCCATATGAAACGATAAAGATTAAACTTACAATTTACTTCAAACTACAATGACCATTCTTTTAATTTGCTTTTCGCCAATAAACAAGAAAACACATGTTTTTTTTTTCGCTGTTAAATGAAATTAATATAATATTTTTGAAATATTAGACCAACTAATAATCATTTGCAACAAATACAATTATTTTGAAACTTTTAACAGGCTCTCTTTTCTTTCTTGGAAAGTGATGCGCCAACACTAGAGGAATATATGTCGTGTATATGAAAAATATCACATCTTCAAGGGTGTAAACTGACATTATGCTTCAATAAAGCAATCAGTGGGACTGTTGATGTATTGGGCTTCTTCATCACAATTCGAACTACTTTCACAAACACACTTTACAAAACAGCAAGCATTAGCACAAGCGCATCTAGTAGAGCGAGGTACGTTTTTGTTGAAAGTTTTTCTCTTTGTTAAAGAATCACCTGTCTTAGTTGTTTTTGTTGTGGATCTATCGATCCTTGACGAAAGTATATATCTGGAAAAAATATGTTTTCTTTGCTACTCGTTGTGGATTGTTTGTGAATGGTCTACGGATAAATTCAACTAAATGTTTAAATGGATAACTATGCCTCCTCAATTTCCCTCTTTTGATTATTGAACAATGGTTTAGAGGAATGGTTTTCTTAGGACGGATACTTCTATGTAGATATCAGTTCTAGCCCTAATAAATCCCCTATTTCGAGGCACGCTATTTCTTCCTCATCTTTTTTCAATTTTACACGATGGTGAAATTAACAATCTATTCCCGCTTTCAATCAATTTAAAGAAAACAAAGGTGAAGTTGACAAGTGAAGACAAACATCATATTAACTATGAACTTACATACACATTATTTTACCTACTAAATATGTTATGTGTCTTAAATCCTGAAGGCAATATCTATAATGTTAATTATCTATGGGTTATACATGATATTTGGATAAAGATAGTTCTGCAAATTAATATTGAAATACCCATGGTTTTTGTATACTAAGTAATAACTTTTAACAATTTCATCCCTTTTTTATATCTGTTACATGGTTTGCATTACATGGTTTGCAGGTCTATGTAAAAGCTAGAATATTGAAAGATGGAGTATGTATTTGCAATCATTAGTCCTATTGTTGAATCATTAATGGTTCCTGTCAAAAAACAGCTAGGTTATCTTTTTTCCACCACAAAACATGTTAGGAGCATGAATATTGAAAGATGGGGTTTGTATCTGCAATCATTAGTCCTATTGTTGAATCATTAATCGTTCCTGTCAAAAAAACAGCTAGATTATCTTTTTTCCTCCACAAAACATGTTAAGAGCATGAATATTGAAAGATGGAGTTTGTATCTGCAATCATTAGTCCTATTGTTGAATCATTAATGGTTCTTGTCAAAAAAACAGCTAGATTATCTATTTTCCTCCACAAAACATGTTAAGAACATGAATACTAGAATGAAGCAACCGGATTGTACAAGTCGTGATGTCAAAAATCACATGGAAACAAATAACATAAGTAATCTGGGGATACTTGCTCGTGCAACAGGGTGGTTAAAAGATGTGGAAAAGATTAGGGAAGATGCTCAAATCATTTCAAGTACAGGGAATGGATGTTTTAACTTGAAAATGAGGTATCGAGCAGGAAGGAATGTGTTCAAGATTACAGAGGAGATGGGAAGTCTTATTGAAGAAAATAGTAAGATAATTTGGAGTGATCCTCAAAAACTTCTTGGAAAAGTGAATTCTCAAAACGCATCTACTTCAGCATTGTGGGATGGTGATGCCCAAAATTACTTGAAATCAAGAGAGAAAAGCGTTAAGGATGCACTCAAGTTCCTCAACAAGATCACACGAGCCAAGTGATAGCCCTATGTGGAATGGGAGGTGTGGGGAAAACCACAATGATGGAACAGTTGAAAAAGGCTGCAGAAGATAAGAAAATGTTTGATTGGATTGTGAAGGTGGTCATTGGACAAAAGACTAACATGTTATCTGTTCAACAAGCCCCTTGCAGTTAAACTCATTGAGATAAGATATACCTATTTAAAAAAAGAAGAGGAGAAAAGGATTTTTGTGCTTTGTGGTTTGTTTCCTGATGACTTTCATATTCCAATTGAGGAACTCACAAGAGACTTATCTTCTTACATAAGTCTATCTCCATACATAAGCAAGCAAAGATCATGCATTTTAAAACACCCAATGTAATTGCTATTGATCAACAAATTTGCATTTTTTCAGATTCTACACACATGTTTTTGTCCTGTCTCTCGCATCTCCGATTAAACAATTGTAGGCCCTACAATTGTTAAATGGTGTTTCTGTTGTGGGAGATGCGAGAGACAGGACAAAAACATGTGTGCAGAATCCTAAAAATACAATTTTTTTGACGGATAGCAATTACATCGGGTGTGTTAAAATACATGATCTTTGCTAGCTTTTGTGTTAGGTAGAGTTGCCAAAGGTGACTTTTCATGGATAATCAACCATGGTGATATTTCAAAGTGGAGTATAGCTGAAATGAGAGAATCTTGCAAAACAATTTCTATTACTTGCACAGGTATGTCTGAGTTTCCTAGTGACTCTAAGTACCCAAACCTATCACTTTTGAGACTTATGTATGGAGATAAGTCTCTTAGGTTTACTGAAAAGTTTTATGATAAGAATGGAAAATCTTGAAGTTTTAGCATATGAAAAATTTCTCAGTTTTGCACATTGTGGCATCAGAAAATTGCCATCCACAATTGGAAAACTGGAGGAGCTATAGTTTCTATGTTTGGATAGTCTACCAAAGTTGACAGGTCTTTGCAACACTGCTAATGTAATTGAGCTACCACAGCTGGTGGAGTTGATACTTGATGGTCTTCCTGATTTCACTAGCATTTATCCTGAGCAAACATCCCAATAATATCTCTGCAGTTCAACCTATCTTTAACAAAGAGGTACCTCTATACTAGGATTGTCTTTGTAATGAAAGTCTGTATTTCCCTATTTATGTTTAACATGTCTTAATTACTGTGCAGATGCTGATTCCAAATTTGGAGATATTGTTAATTGCGAGGATGAATAAGCTGAAAGAGATATGGCCTTATCAATTTAGTAGTAGTGACGAAGTTGATACTTGCATTTTGAGAAAGATTGAAGTGAAGAAGCATAATAATCTTGTGAATCTGTTTCCAATCAATCACATGTCTTTGTTGGGTCGTCTGGAAGAGCTTCATGTTAGTTATTGTGGAAGCTTTGAAATGTTATTTAACATCGAGATGAGTTGTGTTGGTGAAATTGAAAAACACAGTAGCAACTTGAGACACATTCATATATATAAGTTGGGGAAGCTAAGAGAGTTGTGGAGGATGAAAGGTGAAAGTAGCTATGATATCCTCATCTATGTTATTGAGCTTTCTATTTCTATTTCTATTTTGATGTTTGAGAACTTATGTATATGTGTCTATATATACACTCACATGTGTGTATGTGTATGACTGTATGTAAATATGTGTGAGTGTGTATACATACGCACATATACATATATGTGTATCACACTACAAGAAATCAATCAACTATACACAATTCTTTGGATGTATTCGCACTTAAAAGTGTATAAGATTATTAACATGAATGAAGAAATGTGTCCTGACAAATCATTTCTAAATTTTTACCCTTCAACATGTGATAAAAAAAAAGTTAAAACTCCGAATTAAAGAACGTGGACAAATTACCTATATCACTACACTTTTAAGATTGGAAAAGTAGGCTAGATTTCCCACATTGCTAAGTACTGTGGAACTCTTTGAGCCTTCATATTATTAATTTTACATATTTATAAGCATGTTTTTTTGGTTACTTCTCTACACCTATGAGCTTGTGTGTTTATTATATTTAACAATAGTAACTTCAATTATTATTATATTTTATTAAGATTTAAGAGCGACCACATTTCCATTAAATGCAAAGATTCTACATATTTGATCTATTAATCAAATGAGTGATCACACAAAATTATTTATGTATGGTAAAAGAAAAACCAAAAACCAAATTTGTTTCTTGTGTTTACATTGTTTCAAACAATTTATTTGCAGTTTTAGTACTTAACTCATGTTTTCTTAGCATTTTTAGTCCTTACGTCAAGTTTAACATCTTGCATCGACCCCCACTTGTCCTACAACTTTTTCATTTAAGTTTCACATTTCACTAATCTCAAAAAGTATAATATCTTTTGGAAACAAGTTTTCTTGTTTTCGATTGAGACACTATGTTGTATGCATTGCGTTTTTTTACTTTGCAGGGTGTTGGTTTTATTAACAATACAAAATATAAAAATTCTATCATACAAGAAGGATTGAGTAAGGACTGTTAATAACAAAAACCGATAGGGAACTTGAGGAAGATTGTGAAATGGGAAAGAGGTGGATGGTGGTGGGCCCTACGGGCTATCGATAGTTATAAAGATGATTAATAATACAAAATATAAAAAGGCAAAATAGTTGTCACAACTGACATTTTGCTAGGAAATTCTATTCCCATGTAAACATCATCCATTGTAAAAGCTTGTACTCTAAGTGAATACTATACTCTATGCTCGTTCAAATACATCTCATATGTTCAAATAAGGGTTGGAAACCCTAGAAATCCCGGCTCAAGTTCATTATGGACTAAGATTCTCTTATTGGGTCTAATGGACCAATAAATCTCCGACTTCACCATCTTGGGCCTAGGAACCCTAACTAGGCTCTAAATGGACCACATTCATAAAACTTTAGCATTTTGGACCATTAGACTTAGAATGATTCATTCTAACCCTAATGGGCCTTATTGGGCCATAACTAATCCGATTAACCCTAATAGGCTATAAATCCATTCTTTTATGTCAAATTGGGTCGTAAATACACTTAAGGGCCCAATAGGCCGAAACATATTTATTGGGCTTCACAAAATCGAGCAAAGCCAAGAGTGGGCCAAACTAATTCAATTTCATCCATCTTAAGCCCAATTCTCGGCCCAATGAGGAAAAGAAAAGAAAAATAAAGGGAAATTAGAGGAATTATGAGAGCTTGCCACCTTTTTATTGCATGGAGGATCTCCATGCACATCACCTCACTCCCTCTCTCCTCTCTTCTTCTTCTTCTTCTCGGCCAAAACACCTCACACCACCCTCATTCTCTCAAAAATCTTTCAAGAAAACTCTCTCAAAACACTCAAGAACATCCTCCTTCCTTCCATCCAAATTTTCGAGATCTCTAGGTGTTCCAAGAAGATCTTCACTAAAGATCATCAATCTTGGGTAAGTCATTACACATTCAAGCTAAACAACTTCATTTTTGTGTTAGAACACTCCTTCTAAACACTTGTTTGTGATCATACTCTTAGAAGCCTTCTAAACTCGAAAACCACACAAGGAAAGCTTGCTAAGGCCGAAAACAACATCATCTTCTCATATCCCTTCATCAAAACCGATCCATCACCCCAAGGTGAGTTCATACCCCCTATTTTCGATTTTTACTTGGTTTTGGGGGAGAATACAAGTTTCTTTATGTAGATCTATGTGTATATGCATGAATATGTGTGTTTTTCATGACTTATTTGTTGATTATGTGCAATTTACTTCATAAATCTAAAAATATGTTAAGAATATTAAGTTTATCACTTGAATCTACATGAAAACCTTAAGAAAAGTATGTGTTATAACATATAATACATGTAAACTAGTAGATCTGGGATTTATACACTTAAAATAGCAAACATGAGTGTTGTGTTCAAAGATCTATAAACTAAACTAAAAATTCAGCCCTTGACAGAAAAGTTTTGGTCAAATTTCGAACTGTTTTGACCACCTTAATGATAATATTTTTCAAAACTGTTTTTCATGAAAAAAGTTCAGGTTTATACCTTTAAAATGACTACTCTCACGTTTTCATACGATTTTTCTACAATTTTTGGCGAATTTTACAAAACTGCCTATCAGATTTGAAATAATTTCGGACCAGCCTGTGAAGGTGAGCAATTTCACACTTGTTAGAGGCCATTAAAAATTATGACAAAAATTGTAAACAAAGTAGACAAAATTTCCAAACTTCCAGAATTTACGGATCCAAATTTCGACTTACGATGATTTTTCTACAAATTTTCCAACAACCGGTTCAGAAAAGCCAAAAACCAGAAAAATGTGTATTTTCACAAAAATCAAGCCAAGAATGATATTTTTGACAATAATGGGTTTAAAATGTTATTTTTACCAAAAACTAGTCATAAATACAAGTTTTGAACAAAATGGGGAGTAATGTGTTATTTTTACAAAAATTGGGCCTTAATTGTAAATTTTTGGCTTAATGGGCCAAGAACGTCATTTTTACAAAAAGTGGGCCTTTTATGCTATTTTAGTGACTACTTGAACCAAAACCAACAATAAACTAACAAACGGTTTAATTTTGATCATTTTTAGGCTATTGGGCCTTAGTGGCCCATTTATATGTTTGATAGGTTTTGTATACTATTTGCGTGCTATTTGGGCCTATAAATACCTTACATGTGAAATGGGTCTTAGTTGTCCTTTTACATATATTTTGGACCCATGTTATATAATCTCATTCATATTAGGTTTTGAAATGACTTACATGTTTAGCGATGCCCTAGTGGCTCACTTACATGGTTCGTTGGGCCTGGAATGAGTTATATACGTTTATCTTCGCGTAAATTCGATTAAGGATCTAGTGAGTTTTTGTCGGTCGACACCTATTAAGTGTACGATTATAGCCTGTAGTTATAATCAGAGTCTATTTGAGGGAGAGTGGGGTTTTGTGTATAAATCTATACGGGGATGACCCCCCACACCTGAGCTGTTCGCTACAGTTAGACTACATCGGTCTAGGGTGACTATAACCTTATTATATTTTTCAGTCGGCATTCACAAACGCCAAGACAGGAGAAATTGTCATTATTTAGTATGGTTATGACGGCTCACTTAGAGGAATTAACATTATGAAGTTTGCGGAAGACTATTTTTCTTTTATGTCGGATTACTCGGAAACTTACTCATACTGGTACTCAACCTCGGTGTTGGTACGACAACATTGTCTATTCTTCTTTTTCGGGCAACATCGGGTTGTCTGGGGGCATTCTATTTACATTTTCTTCTATCACCTTTGGCATTCTATTAAACAATAACACACATGCATTAATACAAGATCAGACATAAACATACCAAACTATTTAAGAAAATGCAGGATTTTCTTGTGATTACAAAGTTATACAAATCATTTTCTCAAATATACTTATGAACTCACCAACATTATATATGTTGACATTTTTTAAATAACTTGTATTCTTAGGGACTCGTTAAGCAGAAGAATCAACAAGAATATGGGATCTTGTTCTGTGTACTGTTAAACATCATACATTGAATGTTTTGGTCATGTTATTTAAAAGATTGTACTTGATGTAAACAATGACAGCTGTATTATATTATGCATGGTAATGATGATGTTATGTTTCATTTATAATCACCATAATGATATTTCAAGATGAAGTCACGCACAAGCCCCCGGACGTTTCCACCGTCTGGTTCGGGGGTGTGACAATAGTCATTTAATAAGGCTTGAGAAACTTAAATTAACGGTGTGAGTGATAAACCATGAAGCAGGGACTAAAATTGGAAAATAATTTAATGGACCTAAACCAAAAAAACGAGAAAAGCACATAAACACATGGACCATCCATGATCTGTTCAAGATATCATTTCTTATAAGTGTATTCTTTTAGTATTCAACTATTTCTTTAATTTCTTTTTCTTTAATATTCTCTTTTCCATATGTAACTCCATAAGCTCATATTCTTCTGAAGCTGGAAAGACAAAATAAATAACTACATACCTAATTTTTTTAGTTTATTCATTTGCATAGATCATTAAAGTGATTTATGATAAACATGGTTATAAATTATATCAAATGCCTCTTTTATTAAGTTTTAGTTAAATTAACTAAAATGGATGGTGGATTAGACCGGATTGTGAGGGAAAGAGAAAAATTGATTGATAGATGTATATAAGTCATATCAACTTATTCTTAATTTTTTTGTTAAGTAATATGAAAATGGGAAAAAATTATTTTATCGATGTCTTTTCTGTTGATGCATACTTTTTATTGCCTAGTTTGATAGTTTGGCTTACTAAAATTTGGTTTGTTGTTTAAAATGGGAGAAGAGATGACCGAAGATACAGTAGAATGAAGTACTTGATAGATTCATGGGGAATTGATAAGTTTAGATCAGTTGTTGAAGAGTACTATGGAAAGAAGTTTGAACCTCCAAAGGAGTTACCTGAATGGGAATTCAAAAGCCACCTTGGATGGAATGATCAGGTTAGTTTCATCAAAATCTATCCACTTATGTCATTGTACATTGATACTTTCAATCTTTTTCTTAAAAAGACGTTACTTTATTTTTCTTACTTGAGTTTTATTTATTTTTTTGTGGCAGTGGCAGGGTGATGGGCGTTTATTTTGTGGGTTCCATGTTGATAGTGGCAGGGTTAAGGGGATAATGAAGAAGACATTAAGGGAAATAATTGAGAAGTATAACTTGAATGTGAGGATCACATTAAACCAAAATATTGTCCTTTGTGATATTCGCCCCTCTTGGAAATGCCCTATTACTGTAGCTCTAGCACAAGGAGGTCTTTTGGTAAGTCATTTAGCTTTTACAAGAAATAGCAACGTACTTTTGTTTGTTTTTTTATATCATCCTACTTTCATTTCTTCAAAGTATAATTTCTTTAATAAGAAAAAAATATAGAAAATAGTCAAAATAAAAAGAAATGAAAATAACATGACCTTTTATAGGTTTTCTATAGTTGTTACTTATATAATGTTATTTTTTAGTAGCCTCCTACTTATGTGGACCCCCTTAACATAACTGCAATGACATGCCCTGCTCTTCCTCTTTGCCCTCTTGCAATTACCGAAGCCGAACGAGGAATTCGCAATTACCGAGTTGTATTTGAGAAGGTATTTATCAAATCAATTTCATTAGTTTACTAATATTGTGTTTGGCGTGTCACATCTAGCTTATTTTTCGAGTTTTTCTAAGTTGTCATGTTTGGCAAGCCAAAAAGTAGCTCATAAGCTAACGTTTTAAAACGCTACTTACACTAACTTTTTAGGAGCTTTTTAATTTTTTTTTTCAAATATACCCTTAATTAATTATAAAAAACATATTCTTTTAATGCCTATTTATGTCATTTATATATTTCAGCTAGCTTTACCAAACTTCGTTTTTTATCGGTTGGTTTTTTAGCTATCAACTAGCTTTTTAGCTAGTATGCCAAACATAACTTAAATAGCAACAAAATTTTATGATTATTCCACCTAAATATCTCAAGCTTCTTGTTAACTCTCAAATTTGTACATTTTGCTGATAGTGAAACTTGGTTATTATTTAATGAAGTTGTTTCCATTTGTCTGCCACATCTTATACGCTGTGCCACGTCATCAATAAATACAAAATTTCGTAACAATGGACCAAAAAAAAGTTTCACTGTACATTTAAAAGTTGAGGGGTTAAACTTGTTGAAAAAATGTTGGAGGTACCTAGGTGAAACAAGTGTGAAACTTGGTTGTTTTATTTAAAAAAAAATTGCATGTGATTTTAATTAAGATAAGAAGCATGAAATTGTGATGTCAGGTTGGTCTTCCGTATAATGAATCCATAGTAGTAAGAGTTACTGGTTGCCCTAATGGCTGTGCTCGACCCTACATGGCTGAACTTGGATTAGTTGGTGATGGTCCTAATAGCTATCAGGTACTTTTCACTTCTTTTTGTTACACAATACAAAACAGAATAGAACAGGTTGTACTTCATCTGACATACATTTAAAGTAATGGAGAGTTGCGACTGATGTCAATAAGACAAAAGCTGCAAGTTTTTGTCCTACCCAAGACAAAGAGTGGCGTTAATGATAAAAAAAGTAGCAATTTTTTTGTCAGGTGTGGACAGGGGTTCACTTTTGATCATGTGTGCAAAAGACTTGCACGCCCTTTGTGTCCTCATCATCATGGAAAATAGCCCTAAAATGTTTGATTAGTCTTACCCTTTGTAAAAATGTAATATTAGGTTATATTTGGAGTACTAGCTGAAAAGTTAACTGTTAGTTGAAAAGTTAGCTGTTAGTTGAAAATCGAGCTGTTAAATAAAAAGCTAACTGAAAAAGTAACTAATAAAAAATGGTGTTTGGTAAAATTAGTTGAAAAGCTAGTTGAAAGATATAAAATGACATAAAAAGACATTTAAAAGAATGTGTTTCTATAATTAATTATGGGGTATATTTGGAAAAATTTAAAAAAGCTAGATTATAAGCTACTGTTTGGCTTGCCAAACATGACAACTTAAAAAAGATCGAAAAATAAGCCAGCTTATCAGCTAGCTATGGCGTGCCAAACACAACCTTAGTGTTTTGATTTTTATACTAGTTGCTAGGAGTTTTGATTATTTCTTTTGTGATAAAGTATTAGATATTTAAAAGAAAATGACATTGGTTTTTTTTGTAGCTATGGCTTAGGGGAACACCAGGTCAAACTGCATTAGCCAGAACTTTCATGAACAAGGTTAAGATCCAGGACCTTGAGAAAGTCTTTGAACCCTTGTTCCACAGCTGGAAATCCAAGAGGAAATCTAAAGAATCATTTGGCGACTTGACAAATCGCGTCGTAAGATTCATATCTATTTTCTTATTAAAAGACCAAAATACCATTGTTATATATTGAAATAAGTAAAAACAATAAGTTCAATTATATGTATCTATGATAAAAAAAATAAATATTTGAATAAAACTAAAATTAAAAAATTAATTTAGCTTTTTATTATTGAATTACAATTTAGGGATTTGAGAAACTTCAAGAAATAGTGGACAAATGGGAAGGTGTACCAAAATCATCATCGCGATACTACTTAAAGCTTTTCACTGATAAGGAAACATTTGAAGCTGTGGATGCACTTGCAAGGGTTGAGAACAAGAGTGCTCATCAATTGGCAATGGAAGTGATTCGTAATTTTGCTGCTTCACAGCAAAATGGCAAAAGCCAGTAAGTAACATCTCACCATCACCTACTGAAATTGGAGGGAGGAATAAGAGTATGTTTTGCAAGTCTGTATTATATATGATGCTCTAATGTGTTTCAATTTAGGTGTTGATTCCATTTCTAAATCAAGGTTTGTTTTGAGACTTAGTTTTTTTGTTTATTGAGAGTAGTGTTTGATCTCTGATTGGTTCTGTTTATGTATGTGTTTCGGTTTTAAATTTTGATGTAGTCTTGAGTAGTTTGATATTGTCATCTCCTGATGTTTTATATCAACAAGTTTTCAGTTATTATGTAGCATGGATTGTTGTTGCACTTCACAAATTCTCATATTGCTCATCTGATTCTTAAAACTCTTTAAAATGGTTTCAAGAACTTGAAATTCAAAATTTAGCTTTCTATCAATATTTCGACTAACCCAGTTATTCCAAACTTACAAATGTTACTCCATATCAACAATTGATCCCAAGGTTGATGTGGGGTTGAGAATCACATTATGACCTTAAATGCAACATAAACCGAAAGCTACAAGGGTTTCAATTGACTTACCTATGCTACCATATCACCAAAAGCAATTCAATTTTTCTTGTAAGACAACTTCTTGATATTCCATTCTAAGAGAGCTTTTGTCTCTTTGATGACTCGATTCTTTTCATTGGTTCACAACCATGACAACAAAATCATATTTACTTATACATTTTTGTCCATTTTGTGAGTAGATCATGAATAGAGTGACATCCACAAAGTTTATCCGGTCTCAACAAAAATTAGCAAACCACTTGATAAACGGTTTAGCTAGAGACTTAGTGCACATGTCTATGGTGGTAGCGATGAGATTAAGGTTCCCTTAAATACATCTCTAACGGTGAGATTTCAAATACCCTTCGAGTATGGTGTTAGAAGTTGAATTCAATGAGAAAAGTTTGCAACTAGAGATTGGAGAGTTTTTGACCAAAATAAGGTTATTGAAAAAAATATTTACCAAACTAGTGTTTTTATTCATTTTTCTTCTATTTTTCAGTTTTTCTTATTATTTTTTATTTTAAATATATTTTTAGTATTTTTATTTTTCCTCATGGTTAATACCATAAGGAAAAAAGAAAAATAGTCTACGTACATTGTACATAAGATTGCCACAATTAAAGGTTGGTATCTTCCATATTATACTTATTAAACTTACCTGAATTTACTCAATTGGCCATGGGGCTCTCAGGGGAGGTTTTTACATTGGGGTATGTAGCTTAATTACATTTAGAGAAACAATGGGTGATGCTCTGTAATTTAAAAATCAAACAAGGAAGACGCGAATTGAGATAAAGTGTTGGAATTAAACATGGATGGGTGTTTTCGGCAAGAAAGCAACAAACGCAAAATTTTTTATGGTTGAGCATTTCGTATACAGTATGGATATGCGGTTTTGAAGTGCGTTTGTAGCAGAACCATATTTAGAGGAGAAGCTTAGGTGGATTTTTTCCCCATGAAGTTGGCTATCTCATTTGTTTAAGTATATGGGATTTAAAATTTAAAAAGTAAAGTGAGATTAACACTTGGGCTTGGGGAATATGTGGCTGATATGTACCTAAACTTATATATAGAAACCTCCAAACTATATAGTTTTGATCAATTATATCTAAACTAATAATGATATCTGACTTACTATTCTTCTTTAATCATGTGACTTGCTAAACCTATCGAATTTGGGCATAGGGAATATGTGGCTGTTATGTATCTAAACTTATATATAGAACCTTCCAAACTATATAGTTTTGATTAATTATATCTAAACTAATAATGATATCTCGCTTACTATTCTTCTTTAATCATGTGAATTGCTAAACCCATCGAATTTATATTCTTTTTCTTCATTGTGTCTAAGAACTTAAAGCATTGAAAGTCATGACCATTTACTCAACCTTACTAAATTTTAAATAAAAACAAATACAATAAAAGATAAAAGAAGAACATCCAATAACTCAATGAAGGTTTTCACAAATCATTGGATTTAGTTTTTCAATTGAAGGAAAAAACGTTTGAGTTATATTCGTTAAAAATATATTTGTTTTTTACTTTCCCTATAAACTTCAATGATTGTTTTTTTGAAATAAAAAGATATATAATTGATATTTTTCCTACCATAATTTAAGAGAAAATGAAATTTGATTTGTTTTGTTTAAAACTATGTCGTTTAAAAGGTTCTATACCTAAGGTTAGGTACATAACAGCCACATATTCACTTTTCCTTTAACAATTGGGCTTAGGGAATATGTGGCTGTTATACCTAAACTTATATATAGAACCCTCCAAACTATATAGTTTTGACCAATTATATCTAAACTAATAATGATATCTCGCTTACTATTCTTCTTTAATCACGTGACTTGCTAAACCCATTGAATTTATGTTCTTTTTTTTCATTGTGTCTAAGAACTTAAAGCATTAAAAGTCATGACCATTTACTCAACCTTACTAAATTTTAAATAAAAACAAATACAATAAAAGATAAAAGAAGAACATCCAATAAATCAATCAAGGTTTTCACAAATCATTGGATATAATTTTTCAATTGAAGAAAAAAACGTTTGAGTTATATTCGTTAAAAATATATTTGTTTTTTACTTTCCCTATAAACTTTAATGATTTTTTTTTGCAATAAAAAGATATATAATTGATCTTTTTCCTTCCATAATTTAACTCAGTTCTATGATAATATATTAAAACAAAATTAAGAGAAAATGAAATTTGATTTGTTTTGTTTAAAACTATGTCGTTTAAGAGGTTCTATACCTAAGCTTAGGTACATAACAGCCACATATTCACTTTTCCCTTAACAATTGGGCTTAGGGAATATGTGGTTGTTATGTTCGTAAACTTATATATAGAACCCTCCAAACTATATAGTTTTGATCAATTATATCTAAACTAATGATGATATCTCGCTTACTATTCTTCTTTAATCATGTGACTTGCTAAACCTATCGAATTTATGTTCTTTTTCTTCATTGTCTCTGAGAACTTAAAGCATTGAAAGTCATGACCATTTACTCAACCTTACTAAATTTTAAATAAAAAAATACAATAAAAGATAAAAGAAGCACATCCAATAACTCAATCAAGGTTTTCACAAATCATTGGATATAGTTTTTCAATTGAAGCAAAAAACGTTTGAGTTATAATCGTTAAAAATATATTTGTTTTTTTTTACTTTCCCTATAAACTTCAATGATTGTTTTTTCAATAAAAAGATATATAATTGATCTTTTTCCTTCCATAATTTAAGAGAAAATGAAATTTGAATTGTTTTGTTTAAAACTATGTCGTTTAAGAGGTTGCACACATAAGCTTAGTCACATAACAACCACATATTCACTTTTCCCTTAACAATTGGGCTTAGGGAATATGTGGCTGTTATGTACCTAAACTTATATATAGAACCCTCCAAACTATATAGTTTTGATCAGTTATATCTAAACTAATAACGATATCTCGCTTACTATTCTTCTTTAATAATGTGACTTGCTAAACACATCGAATTTATGTTCTTTTTCTTCATTGTGTCTAAGAACTCAAAGCATCGAAGGTCATGACCATTTACTTAACCTTACTAGATTTTAAATAAAAACAAATACAATAAAAGATAAAAGAAGAGCATCCAATAACTCAATCAAGGTTTTCACAAATCATTGGATATAGTTTTTCAGTTGAAGGAAAAAACGTTTGAGTTATATTCGTTAAAAATATATTTATCTTTTACTTTCCCTATAAACTTTAATGATTTTTTTTTGCAATAAAAAGATATATAATTGATCTTTTTTCTTCCATAATTTAACTCAATTCAATGGTAATATATTAAAACAAAATTATGAGAAAATGAAATTTGATTTGTTTTGTTTAAAACTATGTCGTTTAAGAGGTTCTATACCTAAGCTTAGGTATATAACAGCCACATATTCACTTTTCCCTTAACAATTGGGCTTAGGGAATATGTGTTTGTTATGTACCTAAACTTATATATAGAACCCTCCAAACTATATAGTTTTGATCAATTATATCTAAACTAATAATGATATCTCGCTTACTATTCTTCTTCAATCATGTCACTTGCTAAACCTATCGAATTTATGTTCTTTTTCTTCATAGTCTCTGAGAACTTAAAACATTGAAAGTCATGACCATTTATTCAACCTTACTAAATTTTAAATAAAAAAAATACAATAAAAGATAAAAGAAGAACATCCAATAACTCAATCAAGGGTTCACAAATCATTGGATATAGTTTTTCAATAGAAGGAAAAAACGTTTGAGGTATATTCGTTAAAAATATATTTGTTTTTTACTTTCCCTATAAACTTTAATGATTTTTTTTGCAATAAAAAGATATATAATTGATATTTTTCCTTCCATAATTTAACTCAATTCAATGGTAATATATTAAAACAAAATTATGAGAAAATGAAATTTGATTTGTTTTGTTTAAAACTATGTCGTTTAAGAGATTCTATACCTAAGCTTAGGTACATAACAGCTACATATTCACTTTTCCCTTAACAATTGGGCTTAGGGAATATGTGGTTGTTATGTGAACCCTCCGAACTATATAGTTTTGATGAATTATATCTAAACTAATAATGATATCTCGCTTACTATTCTTCTTTAATCATGTGACTTGCTAGACCTATCGAATTTATGTTCTTTTTCTTCATAGTCTCTGAGAACTTAAAGCATTGAAAGTCATGACCATTTACTCAACCTTACTAAATTTTAAATAAAAACAAATACAATAAAAGATAAAACAAGAATATCCAATAACTCAATCAAGGTTTTCACAAATCATTGGATATAGTTTTTCAATTGAAGCAAAAAACGTTTGAGTTATATTCGTTAAAAATATATTTGTTTTTTTACTTTCCCTATAAACTTTAATGATTGTTTTTGCAATAAAAAGATATATAATTGATCTTTTTCCTTCCACAATTTAAGAGAAAATGAAATTTGAATTGTTTTGTTTAAAACTATGTCGTTTAAGAGGTTCCATACATAAGCTTAGGTACATAACAACCACATATTCACTTTTCCCTTAACAATTGGAATATGTGGCTGTTATGTACCTAAACTTAT